AGCTGAACTGCATGTATGTGTGTGTGTTTAAGTTGTATCTTAAACATGCTTTCCTGACTCTTTCTGTGCACTGTCACATGTGAAATATTTATTTAAAAACTAACTCTTAATGAAGAGAACATCTCCTAGGATGGTTTGAAGTCTTGTTTGTGAGATGCAGCCGTTGGTTAAAGCATTAAAAAAAACTGAGTCTAGTGATGTCCTATGGAAACTACTTGTGGGTCTTTGCCATCCTGTAAAATCTAAGAGTGTATTGTGTAGGGGGGAACATGGGAATTTGGATAGACAATATCAAATATTGGTATTGATGCCCAAGTTCTAAAAATTGCATCACTGTAAAAGGGAGTACTGCTATCAGGTTCTCAAGACAAACTCTGGCAGAACTGTCCTTGCTCAGGGAGGGTGGACACCACTCTGTTCTCAGAGTGCAGGCAATGGTTTTGTAAAGATGTTTGGTTTGCTACACCCATGGAAGGCAAAATACTTAGACAAGTATCATGAAGGGTGACACCTCTAAGGATTTAAAACTCTAGAATCCTGGTACCTTTGGGACCAAGTGTGTTTGCCAGAGCAGAAAACAGACAGAAGGATGTGGGTATGGTGTTCATAGCATCTAGACAAGTAAAGAGTCCATGAAGTCTAAGTTAAGGACTCTGTGCTGTCTAGATAAGGGGAATGAAGTATTCCTGGGAGTTATCTATGACAGTTAGATGGGGGGCATTATGAATAGACAGTAGACCACGGAGTATAGGCAGGGTCCATGGTGTATTGATGGGGGGTTCTATCATGTAAATAAGGAGGGTTCTATGATCTACAGATGGGGTTAATGGTATACGGGTAGAGGCTTCCACGATGTTAGACGGGAGTTTGTAATTCATAAATATGGCTTTCTTTAAGTTTCTACAAATGGAGTTAATGGTATACAAGTAGAGGCTTCCATGATGTTAGAGCTAACATAGATATGGCTTTATTAAAGTTTCATGATCTCTAGATAAAGGGTTTATGGTATATAAATAGGAGGTCCCACAATGTGTAGACAAGGGCCTGTAATCTGTACACAGGGCTTCTACGATCTATATAGATGCAGTTTCTACAGATGGGGTTAATGGTATATAAGTAGAGGCTTCCATGGTGTTAGCTCTAACATAGGCATGGCTTCCTTAAAGTTTCATGACCTCTAGATAAAGGGTTTATGATATATAAATAGGAGGTTCCACAATATGTAGACAGGGGCTTGTAATGTGTACACAGGGCTTCTACGATCTATATAGATGCAGTCTCTATGATCTGTCAATAGACAGAGATTTGCATGATGAGTTGGTGAGTGTTTCATAGTGCATAGGTGGGGCTTCTGTGGTCTATAGATGGAGGTGCCATGATGCACAGACAGTGCACAAATGGAGGTTCTATAGCGTCTATGAGCTATAGATGTAGGCCCCATGGTGTGTACACACAATTCCTTGAAGAACAGAGCAGAAAAGCAGAGCTGCGTTTACGGTGAATCTTGAAATCATCTCTCCCTCCCTCAGCTGAACTCAGACCCTATCCAGGACGGGCTTTTAATTTCATAAAATGGCCTCTGGTCCCTGGCCTTGGTCTCATTTTCAGGCTTGGCTCCCGCCCGGCTGTGGGGTGCACATCTCCAGGGGGCCAAGGCAGAGGGAAATGAGCCCTTGGCACGGCAGTTCTGCTGTGGTGTGATGAATGGCCTGCAACCCTCGCACCGCTCTATGCCCTTCATCATCCAGTCGGAGTGGTTAGCAGACTGTCAGAGAAAAATAATTTAGCAGCCGTGCCTTTAACGGATGTGCTGCATTCTGGGGTCAAATGACTATTACAAAGTACTAGTGCTGCCTGGCCGCTCCATCGTGAGAGCTCAGGGTTGACAACATGAAAGAGGGAGGCATCATACCCAGAACTCACTGACATCCTTCAATTTCAGAGAGAGAGAGAGGAGAGAGAGAGAGAGAGAGAGAGAGAGAGAGAGAGAGAGAGAGAGAAGAAGAGAGAAGAGAGACGAGAGAAGAGAGAAGAGAGAAGAGAGAAGAGAGAAGAGAGGACATTTCCTAGTAAATAGAAAATCCTAGGCCTGGCTGGGGGCTTTGGGGAGGACTTCAGCCTCTCTGCAAAGTGGCGTCAGGCTGGAACGGCATGAGGCTGGGACACCTTCCTCACTGATGGGGGTGTCTCAAACAAGACGCAAGAAAGGTGAGCTGCCAAGGTCATGCCAAAGGTCACTGGCAGCCTCAGAAGGAGCTTGTCCCTCTGCCCAGCCTGGCTCCAGGCAGTAGTGGATAGATTGCTTCCACAGCTGTTCTGCAGGTTTGGTTTGAGACAGCAGAGAGGTGGGAGAAAAATGAAAATGATGCAGGCAGAGGAGAGGAAGCAAGACCACAGAGTTTAGCACGTGCACAGGATGGATCTGTAAACTCTTCTTGTTTCTACAGCACTCTGTTTTCTGGGTTCCGCATCTATGTGCGCATACGTGGAAAGGTGTGACTGATGGAGATTGTCTATCCTCCTCCCACCTGCTCCTCAGAGTGATCATTGGACGTTGAATAAAAGCTTGAGACAGAGTGAATTAGCAGAATGAGTCACAGGAAACGCAGTCACTTCTCAGTCTGTTCTCTTTACAGCTTCTCCTCTCCCTCATCCAAGATCTGTGAGAAGCAGGCTATCTCATGGCTTGAAGGATGGCTCAGTCGATAAACTGCTTACAAGCATGAGATCTTGAGTTCAGATCCCTGGCACCTGCATCAAAAGCTCGGTCTGGAGACATGGCTCAGTGATTAAGATCACTGAATGCTCTTGCAGAGGACCCAGGTTCCGTTCCTAGCTCCCACAGTCCATAACTCCAGTTCCAAGGGATTCCATGTCCTCTCTGGTGTTCTCCGGCATTGCACACACATGGTGCACTTATATACATGTAGGCAGAACAGTCATCACATAAAAAGTTAATGAATTTTTGAAAAGCTGGGAGTGGTGGAATGTTCCTGCAATTCCAGCCCTAGAGGAGCAGAAACAGACTCCCTGGCGGCTTACAGGGCAGCTGGCCCTGCAAAGTTGATGAGCTATAGGTTCAATGAAAGACCCTGTCTCAAAAAACAAATAAGGTAGAGGGGCTGAAGAGACGCCTCAGTGTTTAAGAGCACTTGCTGCTCTTGCAGAGGACTTGAGTTCAGTTTCTAGCAGCCATATCGTGTGGCTTACAACTACCTGTAACAGCAACTCCAGGGGATTTGAGGTCCTTTTTTGGCCTCTGGGGCTACAACACTCATATGTATAACCCCTCTTCCTCACACAATATATAATTAAAAATGAAAATAAAAAACTAAAATATAAGGTGGAGAGTGATAGAGGAAAACACCTCCATGTCAACCTCTGGCATCTACATGTATGCACATGTACACATACACACTGCACACACACACGCACACTGCACACACACACACAACATCTAATGTGTTCATTGCATTGTCTACCCTCTGTCTGCTTGGAGTCAAATAAATATGGAATGAATGAAGCAATTCATGGTTGAATGCCCTATCCAGTCATGACTCAAGTGAGGGATCCATTTATATACCCTGTGGCCCCATACAGCATTCCTGAGCAGTATCTGGGGCTTTCGTGGTACCCTGAATTCTTTTACAGATTCTTCATCTCCCAAGGCAAAATAAGGAATTCTATTTCAGGTGTCATGATGTCATGATAGTAACTATCACAGCAATAACTTAAAGTTATTAAGTACTTATGATGAATCCCATACTGGGCTAAGTGCCTTTTAACTATGTAAAGTGTTTCTTTCCTTGATTGAAGCCCAAAATGAATAAAAATAATTTTCTGTATCGACTACATTAGGGATGCCTACAAATAAGTCTCAAAATGATAAGAGAAAAGATAATTTGCATAAATAAGCAATTACAAGACGGCAGAATAAGGCTGTTTTAAGTGATGTGAGAATAGCTCCTGGCACGCAGGCAGTCTACAAAGGCTTCTTAAACGAGTGAAGTAAACTGTGGAAAGCAGACCTACAGGGCTGGGGACACAGCTCAGTGGTGGCGAGCTCAGCTAGATGCAGAAGGCTCTGGGTTTGAATGCCAGTATCACCAAGAAAGAAAAAAATGAAAGCACACTCACCATGAGTGCTTGCAAAAGACCGGGCCAGTTAGTCTAGCCAAATTGGTGAGCTGAGAGATCATTCATTCATTTCTGCAGGGTCTGATAGACCCCAGGCTGATCTTGGATTTACCATGTAGCTGAAGGTGACCTGGAACTCCTCATCCTCTTTCACGTACATCCCAAATGCCAGGATTGCAGACATGCACCACTACATGTGGTTTATACAGTGCCGAGATTAAACCAGGGTTTCATGCATGCTAAGTAAGCACTCTACCAGCTGAGTGCCAGTACTCATTCTCACTTCCTGTCTTTGGGTAAATGATTCCCCCTCTGACCCTTGGTCTACTAGGTCCTCTACTGGGGAAATCTCCACCCTGCTGGAATCCACAGCTACCCTGGTCACCTCCAGTGAGATAATTTTCCATCTGCTTGGTTTTCCCAGCACCCATGACTAGAAACCTAGGCCGGCACAGAACACTGATTTTACCTCCTGACCTTTTCCTCTCCCTGTGAGTTACTGGAGCACTTGACAAACGAAGCTTGCCCTTCTGCGGCCTGACCCCCTTGCTGGGAACAGAGGACCCCTCCCTGGTCCTGTCCCACCTGTTCTCTGGCTCCTGGTAGTTGATATCACCTTTGTAGGAGTTCTCCTATTACCTTTGCTAAGTAGCAGTTTTGACTCTTTATAGTCTCATGACTCTCTCTCCACAAAACCTGGAAGTTGCTCTTAATGAGCTTAGGAAAAGGGCCTTTTCAGGAAAGCCAACAGTTGGCTGCATTGGAGGAGAGGGCCCCTCCATCCCTCCATTACAGCAAGTGTCTCAACTCACATCTATCCCAGCATCCTTCCACCTGGCAGCAAGCTGACTGAGAAGTCTCACCTGTGGCAAGAGGTTGCTTTTATTCCTGCTGGGGGTATGGCCAGGCAGCCGGATGTCGAAGAGGGCCTGCAAGGCAGCCTGTGCTGCTTGGCCCTTAGCCAGCTTCTTGCTGCGTCCCGAGCCTTCGAACGTCCTCCCGTCCACGCACACAGCCATGACAAAGCTCTTGGTTCGGGGCTTCTCGGCTGTCTCCGAGAGGCACACATACCGCAGGCCCGAGCGCAGCTCATTCAGCACCACTACTGGGTTCCTTTCGGCCAGGGCCCCCGGGGCTGGCCTGGGCCTGTCAGGCCGAACTTGGCCCATGAGGTCCAGGGTGTGGTAGAGCAGCCGCCCTTGCCGGTAGGCGGAGGACAGAAACTCTGTGTCCACAGGGCGGTAGCCCGGGAAGTCCTCACTTCTTGAGGAAGGTTCGAACTCCTTGAACAACGTGTCTGGGAAGTCGGCCTGGTCAGAAGTGAAGTCCGTGCAGGGGCTGGGGCCGCTGCCCATGGCCAAGTGGGCCTGGAACGCATTGGGGAACTGCACGAAGGACTTCAGGGCCATCTCTGCTGCCCGCATCTTGGCTTTCTTCTTGGTGGGCCCTGTGCCTTCAAACGTGAGCCCGTTCACTTCTACAGCCACTGCAAAGACTGGGGCATGCACTGGGCCTGTCTGTGACACCATCCGGTACTGCAGACCTGGCTTTAGCTCATGCAGCTGGACCAGGGCGTTCTTGGGCGTCATAGACCATGAGAGCTTCTTCCATATCAATTGGAGTTTGCAGAAATGCCCCCCATTTCCTTCCTCCAGGGGCCTTTTTCTTTTTATGCTGGGTGTGCTGCCTCTGGCCCGGTCTCCAGGGGGCAGGGGCCTGGTCCCCAGGTTGCTCACATAACGATTTTCCTTCACTTCAGCACTGCTGGTACCTGGAGGTGAGAACAAATTAGTCATGACCTAGGGCACTGGCAGGTCACCACCAATGACAGAGACTTACTCATGCCTGAGCTATAAGGCTGGAAATCCAGGCAGTTTGTGCTTGCCATCAGCACCTCCAGCCAGGCCTGGGATGCTGGAATGACTCCTAAAGGCTACAAGGGAGGAGTGTCTATGGGCACCAATTGCTTCTAGGAGGGAAAGCCTGAATCACTGGGCAGTTTTCAGAAAGCCGGGATTGAGAAGATGTGAGGAGGCAGGTGAGGAGTGTGCCTTACATGGCCTCACCATCTGCTGCCCTTAGTATGAGCTGTGACGCTGTCCCCATGAGTGCCCTCTCTCTTCACTGCCTGCATCACCCCCTGAACCCAGACAGACAAGTAGCCCTGGCTGTCTGTGGTTTGGGGCAATAGCAGGTCACAGAAGCTTTTCTTGCCAGAAGGAGAGCTTTCCCTCTCCATGTGCTGCCAGGGCCCTTAGGGTCTGTGATCTGTGATTGATGTCTGTGTAGGGGACCACTTTTCTGAAGCCATGTTCTTTCATATCCAGTCCTAGTAGAGTTTCTCAAAACCTCACCTGCTAATTCATATCTGGAGGTGAGAAATGATGTGTCTCCCAAGACTTTCATGGAGGGGACAGCTAGGAGCCTGCCAAGTGGAGGTGCAGCAACTTTTCCCAAACACCTGCGTGCCACCTGTGCGGGTCCATACAGTTGTGCAGCTCAGTTATGCTGGTTGCTTACAGAGCTGAGCGTCTGACAGGTGTACAGAACCCCAAGTCTGAGCTATTTACTATCTGATCCTCCAGTCCTGTCCTGGACGAGGCAACCCACTGGGACCCATCAAAGGCCACAGGTGCTGAGATGTGGCTTTGTTGCTTCATTGGAAACATGGTTCTTAGGCTTCCCTATTTGAACCACCTGGACCTTCTGAACGAAGCACATCTAAGCTCTTCATTGTCATTTCACATAAAAATTCCACTGTGGTGTAAATTTACTGTGGGTGTGACAAGGTAGGAACCATGGGTCTAAATGAACTAATCATATGACCATTTTAGGCAGCCTTGGACCGTGACTCAGCTACAAGTCTGTGACTCTACCTCCCCCACAGAGCCACAGTAATGCTTGGATTTCTGCCTCTGAGATTCTTCCCATCAGTCAGGCAAGCACGTAACAGAGACCAATAGTTCCAATGTGTTTCTAGAGATCTGCACCTTTAGGTCGGTGGTAATGCTCACAGAACAATCCATTCAGAAAATACTTTAGGGACACCCACTGATAATCAAGAAACATGTCCTGCTCAGCAAGTCTGTCCCTCAGAGACAGATCCTAGAATTTACATTCACAGAAACTGAGCAAAGATGTTCACTGCAGCATAAAAAATTAAAAATCTAGGAAGTACTTCATTTCCCACAGTTTGAGGAATGGCAAATTGCAATAGAATCATGCAACAGAACAGTATGTAGCAATTTTTTCTGATGGACTCTATATACGTCAACATACATAACTTTCAGAAAAATGTTAGATGACAAAATCAACTTGCAGAATAATCCATCCAGTGGGATATCATTCAGGTAAGTTATAAGACAACCCACATTATATATTATGCATGTAATCAGATGTCTGTGGCAAAATTGAAGATGGCTGTATTGTAAAAAACACATTCCAGTCTCCCCCAGGAGGCGGAGGGAGGGAAGGAAAAGAAATAAGGGACAGAAAGTGAGTTCATTTATACTTGTAACATTTTAAGAAATGATACGTAGTGAATTTAGCAACATCATTACTTGATAACTGTAAGTGATGAATGCATTGCAAGATAATTTAGGACTGGCCACTTTGGACCTCTGTTCTCTGATAAAGCTGTTCTGTTAGAGAATCTCAGTCACGAATCGCCACCTGGTGTGTTGAGTACCTGCTGCACTTTCCTGGGAGTTTGCTTCTGGAAATCTTACTCCCTCAACTTTACTACAAAATACCCCAAGAATTATGGCTGTGAGTAGTTTTGTCATCCACTGATACCTTCTATTGAGAACCTAATGTTGCCGTGTTTCTTTTTCCTCAGTCAGTTCTGGGAGTGACTAGTAGAGTCAACACTTTATAGACAGGCAGCAAGTTGTATGTGTGTGTCAGGGGTGGGGGTGGGGCAGATCTGAAACTCAAAGACTTGATTTTCAGAGGTTCCATGCGTTAAGAGTTAGAGATGTGACAATCCTAAGAATCTCTCGTTCCCCTCACCTGTACTGTGTAAGTTGATTTTACGGATGTAGAATACTTGTACCATTTTTTTTGCCATTTTTGGATTAACACCCCTCTCTGGGCCATCTGGAGATAATGAAGCTGAAGGCCTGATCTGCCCTATGTGTGATGAGTCTGTGAGTTGATTTGGCCGGGCAGAACCATACACAGTGTTTATGTGCCTTGCACGTATTCTCAGGGACTGGGAGATCTTGGCTCTGTGGCAGGTGTGAATGTGCTTTTTTTTTTTTTTTTTCCTCATTAAGCACGTGGAAATTCCAGGTGACTTTTCCAACGAACCAACAGCTTTTAAAAAGGCACTGAATGCTGTTGGCTGCTGACATGTGGGCCTGCTTCTCTCATGCAGTTTGAAAGCTATGCACGGTGAGACCCGTCAGAATCACCACATACTCCCCACCTCTCAGTTTATGACACTGTTGTTGAAGAATAACAAGAAAGTACAATTTGTAGACACAAAGGATGCCTTTGAAAATCAGGCGCCTTCCAGAGGTATCCTGACATTTGAGAATGCTCTCTCCAGCTTGTACTCTACCTCCTCTTAGCTCTGGGTTAACCCACCGGGCATAGCTATCATCAGGTCTTTATAAAGAAGCCGAGGCTGCCCTTGGCAGGACTCTCCAGTGGGGGCACTGGGTCCTGCATCGAAAATAATCGCAATGTCTCACCTATTTAATTTTCTAAATTATGGAACGTGCTTACTACTGTCTCTATCAATTTGCTACTAAAATCTATTAGGCTTTGGGGGGCTATTTTGTCCAAAAGCATGAATCTGAGTATTTTCTAAGTTAGAACCATGCAACATTCATTTGCTATGGAGCTCAATAAAAATAATTACCTTCTAATAGCAAATGCTAAAATCCCAACTATTTTTTTGTTAATCATTGCGCGCTTTGGTAAATGTACAGCAGTGGATTTGGCCATTTAGGTTATTTCAAGCCAAGGGAGAGTGTATATTAGATTAACCAGGTGATTTCCCCAAACTGAGCTTAAAATGGAAAATAAAGAGCAAACAAAACAATTCCCAATCCCCATATCAGATTGCCTGGAAACCTGCTTGGAACCCTCTAATTCCTTATCGATTTCTTACAATATGGGAATTGAATAAGCATGTCGGTGTGGTTATAGTGGCCATTGTATCAGATGACCTCTGCTGTAGCCTAGAGGATCGAACTCAGAAAGCAGTGCCTTTGTTCCACGTGTACTGTAATTTCTTTTACTCTTTGCCCTCTGCAACGCTTAATAATCTTAGGATTGTCATAGTTGAAACTTTCCATATACACCTTGATTATCAGAGTGGGGTGTGAGTCCCTTTCTTACTTTCTTTTTGTGTGTGTGTGTGTGTGTGTGTGTGTGTGTGTGCATACATGTGTGTATGTGTGGAGATCAGAGGTTGACATTGAGTCATTTCAATTATTTTCTTTTTCTCTTTCTTTCTTTCTTTCTTTCTTTCTTTCTTTCTTTCTTTCTTTCTTTCTTTCTTCAAGGAATCTTGCTTTCCTCCCTCCCTCCCTCCCTCCTTCCTTCCCTTCTTTCCTTCTTTTTTTATTTGAGATGGGGTCTCCCTGTAGCCCCAGCTAGCCTGGAACTCACTATGTAGATCAGTCTGGACCTTGACCTCACAGAGATCTGCCTGCCTCTGCCTCCCAAGTGCTGAGACTAAAGGTGTGCCCCACGATGTCTGGATCCTCCTCTATTTTTGATACAAGGTCTCTCACTGAAACTCGACCTTGCCGAGGTGACTAGACTGGCCAGCCAGCAGGCCCCAGGGATCCTCTGTCTGCTTCCTCAGCACTGGGACCTCAGCTGCTCACTCCGTGTCCCACTTTGTCACATGGATGCTAGAAATCATTGAACTTAGGTCCACATGCTTATGCAGTAAACACTTTACTACTTGAGCTATCTCCCTGGTGCCTGTTATTTCTTAGTAATCAACAGTTAGCAGCAGTTGATAAAAGGTACAGATGTAGGTCCTTATGTACAAGTTAGACTCTCTGGGGTGATGTTACCCATGGTGATGTTACCAATGCCAAATGCTTTGGATAACTAATCCTCAGACTCCAGCAAGCACTGCAGGGCCTATCTTGAACCCTTAGAATGTGAGGAGGTATGGTGGCCACTTCACAGGGTCTAGAGCTGAGCAGGTGAGACATCAGGTGAGTCCTGCATTGTTTATGCCTTTGGAACCTTTGGTCACCCACTCCACTCAACTAAGCTTCATTTCTTTAAATGATGAAAATGAGGATTTTAATGATATTTGCTTTATCAGTTGAATGAGGGTGAATAAGTGAGTACGTATATCAGGCATAGCAACAATCCTACCACAGTGGCATTTTAAGCCACACGGTGTAGCAGCTTCTCCTTATCCGCTTTCTTCTATTCATACCCACCTTCTCTCCATGCTTACTTTATCAGCTGGCATTCACCATCAATTTCCTTAGAAATTCCAGGATGCCCCAGAAAGAAGGGCAAACCATTCCCTGATTTTTCTGCTGTGCTGGATGGGAGCTCTGGACCCTCCACCCAGAAATGTCTTATCATACCTTCCAGAGCCAAAGAACAGCACCAACTCTCCAGGAGCTGGACAACATGCCTCCTTGGAGTCACCCTCTGCTGGACAAGGCAGTCCTTGTACATACTGTGCAGCAGTGCACGAGAACAAAGAGCATCTTTTCTCCTTGGACCTCTTGGCTTCAATGCGAACAACAGAGACCCCAGTAAAGCCCAAAGCCCATTGCGACA